CTAAATGCATCTATCAAATCCTATCTCATTGCGCAAATTAGAAACATACTAATTGGGAAAACAAACATAAAAATTATGTGGATCCGGTCACGGGACACGCCGGTATTAATGGAAATGAATGGGCCGATCAAAACGCCAAACTGGCGGCAAAACAGCCATTGATTGTCTTCGACTACATCGAAAGAAACGACATAATCCATTTAATCGCATCGAAACAAAAAGCTATAAAAGTTAATGCTTGGAAGAATGTGCAACACCACTACGCTCTCTGCAACCAAGAGGGCAAAAAACCTGCTTATCCGCCATCAGCCCGTTGCCAAGATATAAGAGCCTTTGTTCGCCTTCGTCTTGGTCATAAGTCATTAACGCATTCCCATTTATTAAATGGGAACCTTAATTCATCCTGTCACATTTACTGGATGAATGCCCCTTCTTCAATTCAGCAAAGACCAGTATATTTCAGAATAATAAAGCTCTTGATTTATTAAAAATAACGTCTATTGCAAACATTACTTAAATATCTGAATACCTATGTCGTACAAAGTTAAAGAAATATATTTAAGTTATTCTTCCTATTTAAAATTTACTTTTAACATATATTTTTAGTTCATAAAAATATATTGCTTGTAAATAATTCTTAAATGGAGGTTCCATCTTTATTATTTAAGTCGTTTATATTGAAACCGTGAGTTGAAAGCCTCTGTAGCTAGTGCTCCTTATGTTCAATGTATAATAATAATTGTATTATTATTTTACAAATAATACATAAATAAAATAAATATATAAATTCATTATTAACCCCTTGACGTATCAATTAGCGCAACGAAATTCGCTTCCAACTATTCGCACACAACTTGCACTAAACCAAGCAGTTTTGATGCTTACCAACTGTCGCACGCTTGTTTTACAAACTTACAAAAAATAAAATACTACGATTTACAGTAGATAATGCACTCAATTGCAACAATTTTTTTGGTGTACATTATTACCTGAAAATAACGGGAAAATTTCAATTCTCTATTCATCAAATGTACACTTCTTCACACCACGAGCTAGACTCGACAATTTCTGTGCCTAACATGATTAGCAGCAGCCATCTATAATGATTAGGCACAGAAATTGTACCACCAGTCAGACTCGTGGAAATACATCAAGGGATTAAACGAATATGTCAAATGTGTTATTGACACATCGCCAATTAGGATGCGGCCATAAACTATAACTTATCGCACGCTTTAAGTACAATTAGATAGCAATCATCCAACACCTAAGCTCTGCACTTCTTAGAATGTAAGATGAAACTTTGTATCTAGGCTTAAGATATCAATTGTATAAATATAAGTGAAATAAAGACACTTCATTTTAGTTTGGAAAATAAACTCAATACACAGATTCACGACTTCCGTGATCTTGTTTAAAAACCACCCCGCGTTCGCGCAAAACATAATGGGCGATCGTGCCAGGAGCAATAGAAGAGCTTTTGTTGGACGATAAAAGTTACAAAATTGAAAAAACGCATAAAGCGTTCAAGTAACGGCATATCAATTATAAAAGTTACAAAATTTAAATAATGCATAATGTGTTCAAGTAACGGCTTATCAATTACTATTTTATTGTGAAGCAACAATCTCTTGCATATACCACGCAACGTGACGATTTGCGAAGGCAAACTAAACAATAAGTGCAACAAAATTAAAAGTTAAACGGCAAACGATCGACAAAGACAACAGTGTAATCAGCAAAAGCATAAAAACAAAATCAGAAAGAAAAACCTAAAAGTGCAGTGAAAGCGATTAATCTCCTCAAACAGACTAAATCTATAGTTTAACTAAAGAAATATAATAAAAAAAAGAAGAAACAAAAATAAAGATATTCTAAAAATATTCAGAACGCAGAGTTCCTTAAAAACAACAAAAGAAACAGTGTACGGGTGAAAACTCCGCATTAAAGGCAATAAAGCAGGGACAAAGCATAGAGAAAAGGCATCAGGTTTCCAAAACAACAGCAGCAGTAAAGGCAACAAGAGCAATAGCAGTAGCAGCAAAAGCAAAAACTGACAGCATCAGTAGCAACAACAACCTAAAGTTAGTTGTAAGTAAATCATATATTTATTAATTAAATCCCACTAATATTGTTGACCCCGCCCAATTTCTTTTGCCACGTCTGTATCGGCAGAACAATATTTTCTTTTCCTCTTTTTCGAACTTTTTTCGAAGTTTTAATTCGCGCGCAACTAAACAGACGTGGTAAGTGTTGTTCCAAATTTTTATAATTAAATATTTTTATTATATGAAACTTTTTGTTTTTATTTAATATTCTGTGGAATCATTTGCGCCGTCCGTTTCCTTACGGCCAACCACATCTACGGAACGAGCGAGCACCTTGCTCCACCACCCGAATTATCATTGGTCCTTCGAGCCGGATAACAGGTAACAAATTGATTTGAATTAAAGTGAAAGTGCATAATTTGCCCGATTTAGCAACTCGCAAGTTACAACCAAATATATTTTGGATTTGTGCTCTGCAAGCTATAACGCAAAGATTGGTTAATTTGTGCATAAGTTCTGTACAAAAAACATTGTGCTGTGTGAAGTGGAGACCAAAACTTATTTTTGGCACTCTAATAGCAATAAAGGCAAGCAGCAATATCGCAGCTGCAGTTTCGCGAGTGCAAACAAAAAAAAATACAAAAAAAGTGTAGTGAGCGACGGCAAGAAAGCCAAACAGCTAAGGAGAGCAGCAAAGCCAAGCAACACGGGCATAGCAGCAAAGGGATAGCAGCAAAGGCAAGCAACGCAGCAGCCACCCCAGAAGGACAGCAACAAACAAACAGTATAGTGGTGAAATCGAAATAGTTCGAAAATAACCCAGTTTACARAGTGAAAGTGATTAGTTGACAAATCAAATAAGTGCTTGTGAATTTTTATCTGTATTTGTATTCGCATTTAAATAAAGCAATTAAGCACACATCAATTTTGCTTGTGTACACATCCGAAGACTAGGCGTGCAAGTGCATTGGGACGATTAAACAGCTAGCACATACAAATTAAATTTGAAAAAATACCTTGAGAAAATACTTTACTCAATTTATTAATTTTTTTTTGTTTTTTCGAAAATTCACGCTTCACTAAGAAACAACGCACTACTAATTTTTAGTTTGTCTTTGAGTGCTTCTGTAACTTTTGAACTTTTTTGCAACATATTTGCAAATATTTTTAAATTTTTATTTCAAGTTTTAGATCCGATTTGGTGGAACATTTTTGCAATCCCGGTTCAATTTTCAAAACAATGGAATCCAGCAGAGCATTTATCACAGGAGCAGACGCTCTACTGGAGTTTGAGGAGTCTTTTACTCCAACAGCAAACAAGTGCCTACTCTCTTGAAGTACAACAAACTGAACTGAAATCTCTGTGGGCAGAGGTAAAGTCAGAATACAAGTTGTTGTGTTTGCCAAAAGTTCCGACGTTCCGAAGCTCAATAGACGACATTAAGCTTAAATATTCAAGCTGTTACCACGCTTATGTGTGTTGCGCGGCCTTGATGGGCGAACACATGCACAACCTCACGGCGCTCAACCAAAGCCCAACTTCAAATTCTACAGTGATTCAACCTGAACGGTTACAACCAACTGTAGAACCCGTGAGGTATTCTATCAATTTACCGCCATATGATACTGAGATATTTCATGGCGATGTTTTACAATGGCCCTCATTTAGGGATTTATTTGCCGCTATATATGGGAATAACCYAAGGCTATCTCCGGTAGAAAAGTTATTCCATTTAAATCAAAAAACGCGAGGTGATGCAAAAGCTATTGTTTCGAAAGCGCCACTGACGAATGACGGATTCGCATTGGCTTGGAATAATTTGTTGTATAGGTATGAAAACAAGGGAGTGCTAGTCAACACACAACTAAATTTATTGTTCCTGCTTCCGCACATTTCTACAGAATCTGAGACCGAACTCAGAAATTTACAGCGKGAGATAAATAGCTGCATATCAGCTTTACAAATACATGGCATCAATGTAGATAGCTGGGATGCCATATTCACGTATTTGTGTTCTATCCGACTACCGGACTATACACTGTCACTTTGGGAACAATCTCTGGATTCGGATTCAGAGATCCCAAAATGGGTTGAGTTAGACAAGTTTCTAACCAAACAGGTTAAAACGCTAGAGAGAGTATCAAACCTCAAAGGCGAGTTGAGTCCTCAACCCAATGAAGATCGGATACCAATCTTGCAGTCAAGGATTGGATCCAAACCCATCAATTCCCATCACGCTAAGAAAACCCATATTAAATGTAAACTGTGCTCATCTCAATCGCACATTTTGAAAACTTGTCAAAGATTCATTGAGATGCAGCCTAACGCACGGTTAAATGCTGTCAGAAAACTCCACGTCTGCCTTAACTTTTTATCAGACTCACATGAAGTCAAAAATTGTGAAAGTATGTTTAATTGTAATAAATGTAAACAGAGGCATCACTCTATGATTCACCGGAATCAGAGTGAAGAAATAGGTCAAATATCCGACAGCACACAGACACTACTGAGATTTCTACTAAATCTCATATGGCCTCTATTAAGGCCAATATTTCAAATGTGCCTAAAGAGCACCTTCACTGTCAGAGCCCTGATTGATTCGGGATCTGAAGCCACCTTCGTAAGCAATAGTCTGCAAAAACGCTTACATCTGGCAAGCAAAACGGTCATCGCGCGAGTTTCAGTATTGAATAATACCGTATCAGGACGAGTTCAATCAGTATGCTCGATTACAATTGGCTCGCCCCGCAACAAAAGTTTAAGACAAGAAGCGGAAGCGTTGGTACTGCCAAAATTGACTGGACTGCTTCTATCCAGGTCAATTAACTCCTCAATTTTAAAAAGGTTACCTAATATCCCCTTAGCGGATAATAATTTCTATACGAGTCAAAAGGTTGACTTGTTGATTGGAGCGGATCTTTACCCGAAAATCATTCTAAATCTGGTAAAATCGAAAATCTTCCTATCACTTGTTGCACAACGTACAGTGTTCGGTTGGATCTTAACAGGATAAGATAAAATAAATGGCAAAGGTGAGGCACAAAATTCAACAATAACGCAACAACAAACACAAACCCATTTTTGTAGTAAAATTAATATTAATTTTTTATTTACACAACAGAAAGAACAATCGTCCCATCAACAGAGTATGCTGCAACAGCAGTCCAAAAACATCAGTCACGAGTATCCAACAACGCTCCAACAACAAATGCATCAACCATATCAACAGCAGCATCAGCACCAGTTGCTGGGTGTTCCGTTTGCTGTAATGTTAACGGCGACACGAGATGCACCAGCTAGTCTCCAATCTAGACTACAACAACAACAGATTTCACAATTGGAGTCACAGCCACCGCCGACGTCAACGCCTACCCAGATCCTAACACAGACACAAATAGCGATTCAGTCACAGTCGCAACCTCAGTCACAGACACAACCGCAGCAACAGCCATTACCACAACAGCATCAACAACAACAACGTCAGCAGTCAACGCAGCGTGAAGCACAGCTGCCGATAGCGCAGCCGTCTAAGTCTCCAGCGCACATTTCGTCACCCATGGCGTCCAGCCCAACGGTGACAGCGCAACAACAGCAGCTTCAGCATCAATCGCTACACCGACATCAACACCCTCACATCATTTGGCTAACATTCTGAACGAAAAAGCCAACTCGAACGGCTCTTCCACATTGGCCGTGGTGGCTAACGACAGCAACAACAGCAGCAACAGTTCGACCAACAGAATTACCAACAATCAGCCCACCTCAGTGCATGACGGCAACACTCAAAGCTATGACCAATGATGCCTTTCCCGCATACCACACGCCCCAGATCGAGCCAGACTCGAGTCGTCTCGCCGACTTCGCCGTGCTGGTAACTTCCTTTCGGATTGGCGGCATGGTAACGATCGACTGAGACTCGATTCTTCTCAGCGACATTGTCCGGACCGAGCGGAACTCCATTCGTTCCGCCGCCCACCCCATCCGAAGCGAAGGCGTCGAAGATACACTCGTCGTTAAGCCGATGCACGCCGTATCATCAAGGCCAGGCACGCAACACAACCTTAGGCAACAAAGAATCTCGCTATCACCAACCGCCTTAATAAGTGTTCGAACTGCGACGAGGTTCGTAACAGTGCGGGCCATAATTAGCCCAGTCAGTCCAGCCACTGTTATCCGCGCCTCCACGATTGCACGTGCAGACAACCGAGTGTGCGAACTAATGTTTCGGGACAACCAGGGTGGAGGAACAGGAATCTCCGTGAGTGCCCAAATACAACGTCGTCCTTTACCACCTACGCCAGTAAGGTCTCTGAAAGACCATTTATTTCAACAATTCCGCAACCTAAGACCGGCAGGTAACGAATTCCCCAGGGCACCGCCAGTCGAAGTAATCTTGGGAGCAGACATTTACTCCCGACTCATGTTGCCCGGATCGATTTAGACTCGAGTCGTCTCGCCGACCTCGGAAGGTGGTGACTTCTATGCAAATTGGCGGAATGGCAATGGCCGACTGAGATTCGATTCATCTCAGCGGCATTTCCCGGACCGAACCAGACTCGATTCGTCTCGTCGGCCACCCCATCTGCAAAGAAGACGTGGAAGAGGAAGTGCAGGACCCAGTTAGTTAAGTTAGTTTTAAGTAATCTATTGTAAACTGCATTTGCAGTAATACTGCAAGGCGGGGAGAATGTTGACGCCGCCCCCGCCCAATTTCTTTTGCCACGTCTGTATCTGCAGAACAATATTTTCTTTTCCTCTTTTTCGAACTGCTTTTGAAGTTTTAATTCGCGCGCAACTAAACAATAACTAAAAAAGTTGCGCGCTCTCTCCTTTTGCGACCGCTTAGCGATACAGACGTGGTAAGTGTTTTTCCAAATTTTTATAATTAAATATTTTTATTATATGAAACTTTTTGTTTTTATTTAATATTCTGTGGAATCATTTGCGCCGTCCGTTTCCTTACG